CAACTATTAATTTACTTGATAAACTTGATAGTACAAAAGTACAACATAATTAAATAATTAAAACAAAAATATTATCCTATTGATTGTTTCATTTTTAAGTTAAAATCGTTCAAACTATTTGTAGTAAATAAATGATTGGTCCTGCAGTATATTTGGAAAGGTTTTGTAAATGTTGGTCCTCAGTTCCTCGCAATACTGTGTGAGGGTGCTTGATTTAAAAAAAAAAATACTAATTCTGGTCATCTCCTTGAGATGGGCGTATTTTTTAAATTTTCCCCGGGTATTAAAAAGCTATGATCCGGCCCTGGCTATAGCAGTAATGACAATTGACGTTTTAAAGTTCGTCTTTTTTCCACTGCGGCCACGAAACTGTCCATCGACGTGTTACGAATTCTGATTCTGTTAAATAACATTTTTCTTTTAAAAAAATGTCTGTTATAATATTTTTAAATCTTATTTTAAAACCTTACATTTTTTAACTATTTTTATTTTAGTACGTTATAGCCTATAGGAAACCCACTGAGATGAAAAATAAGCACATTTTCATTATATATAAAATTTCTAAGATTCCTCAAAGAGTGTAAAATTATCAAGAAAGATTGGCCAAGTACACCAGTCGTAGGAACGCGGCTTAATAATAAGAATATAGGCCTAGACTGCAAGTAGGTATTCATTGTAATAACCATAACAGTATAACAAATAATACATTTAGTATTGTATAGGGAACTTAATTTATGGTCGGAAAAATTAAAAACGGCACACCCGCCCGTACCTATTCAGTACGAAAAAATAGTCCCCTGGGCTGTTCGGTCGCATATTACTATGTCCCCGGAAGCTTTGAACAAATTTGAATTATAAACATCATATAGAGAATTTTCCTGGCTTTCCGAATAAATAGGTTTAATGCGTCGCCACCTTCCGGAACTTGGTCGGAAAAATGAAAAACGGCGCATGGGTACCTGCACGCGGTGGTACGAAAAAATAGTCCCCTGGGCTGTTCGGTCGCATATTACTATGTCCCCGGAAGCTTTGAACAAATTTGAATTATAAACATCATATAGAGAATTTTCCTGGCTTTCCGAATAAATAGGTTTAATGCGTCGCCACCTTCCGGAACTTGGTCGGAAAAATGAAAAACGGCGCATGGGTACCTGCACGCGGTGGTACGAAAAAATAGTCCCCTGGGCTGTTCGGTCGCATATTACTATGTCCCCGGAAGCTTTGAACAAATTTGAATTATAAACATCATATAGAGAATTTTCCTGGCTTTCCGAATAAATAGGTTTAATGCGTCGCCACCTTCCGGAACTTGGTCGGAAAAATGAAAAACGGCGCATGGGTACCTATTCAGTACGAAAAAATAGTCCCCTGGGCTGTTCGGTCGCATATTACTATGTCCCCGGAAGCTTTGAACAAATTTGAATTATAAACATCATATAGAGAATTTTCCTGGCTTTCCGAATAAATAGGTTTAATGCGTCGCCACCTTCCGGAACTTGGTCGGAAAAATGAAAAACGGCGCATGGGTACCTGCACGCGGTGGTACGAAAAAATAGTCCCCTGGGCTGTTCGGTAGCATTAATATACGGGCACATAATGATGTAAGTGAATTTCATGGCGCCATCTTGTGGTTGATGGTATTACAAATGTCGGGTGCCTTGAATATAATAAAACGCAACCCGGCATACAAGGCCTGTTATCACTAGTCGTCCGAGAAAATAGTCCCCTAGCTATAGTCCCCCAACTTCACACACGTGTCTAGTAGTATTATACATGGACGGAACATTTAAGTATTCTGCACGGTTTTTCACCCAATTGTTCACGAATCATGGGCTCAAAAATGGACACTATATTCCTTTAATATTTTGTTTACTGCCTTCTAAAACTACAGAAATATATGCATATACATTTCAGTTAATTGTTGACAAATGTTCTACACTAGGTGTGCAATTATTACCGCAGTATATAACTACAGATTTCGAAAAATCCATAATAAATGCCATACATGAAATTTGGCCACAAACCCAAATTATCGGTTGTAGGTTTCACCTCACCCAAGCGTGGTATTGTCAAATTCAAAAATTAGGGCTATCCACTGCCTACCAGGACCAATCTTCAGAAGAAGGAAAATGGTTGCGTCATACTTTTGGCTTACTTTTTTTAGATCCAACTGAAGTTTTTGAATGTTTCATAGACAACTTTATGGCTGACATTCCCAAAAATGACCAAGTTAGTAAATATTCAGACTACTTAGTTGACAATTATCTGACCGAAAATTGCGATTATCCTCCAATACTTTGGGCATCAGCAAGTTCAAGTTTAAGACGAACCACCAACAATTGTGAATCATTCCATTCGAATTTTAATCGACATTTCTATAAGGAATCACCGTGTATCAATACTTTAGTAACCGTTTTGATTAATGAAGTACAAACTGAAGTCTATGTTAAACTAAGAAGTACCCACCTACCAAACGTGACACAAGATCGTCGAGTTCGAGACAGACAAAATTGAAATGAACAATTTATAACTCATTATACGAATGGAGATCTTGACAGGTAGTGTAACTAACTATTTTAATTTAATGTCAATATTTATAATTTTATTTCTTAAATTTCCAGATATGACTTCGTAAAAGAAATATCATACAACTATAGTAAGGTATAATAATATTAATTATAAAATATATGACTGACGCATGTATGTAAAATATAAATAAAAACATAATTTTAATTTGATTTATAAAATACATAATATATTTGGTATAACACTTTTTAATAGTGATAACTGATAAGAAACAAAATAGTTTTAATTTTTAATGTAAATTATAATATGACTGATGCATATATGTGAAATAAAAATAAAATTATAATTTATAATATATTATAATATGACTAACATGTATATTGTATATATATTTAAATATTATTCAAATACTAGACTAACTTTTTTGATTTGGCGGAAAAGTGAATTGGGGGAAAAGAGAAAGGTACGTAAAGGCCGTAAAGGTACGGTTTTGGCGGAAAAGGGAATCGAATAATTTATGATTTGGCGGAAAAGAGAATTGGGGGAAAAGGGAAAGGTACACTTTTGGCGGAAACCGGCCATGCCCTTCTCAACTCCTATAATACATAGCAACCATTAATAAACAACATTTTTCATCGTAAATCTCAAAATCCCTATTTGAGCACCTACCGGGGAGTGATCAATTCCCTTTTTAAATTGGCCTATGACACTCACAAAGAATGTGGCTTTGTTGACCAACTGATCGAGTATTCGAGTGTCTGTATATTACTATTTAGTATATTCTATATTTTTCTATCTTGTTTCACTACAGTCTACAACAAACAAGTGCTAGTGAGTCTGTAAGTCTCCAGCTGTTTAATACTGATAATGGAGATTAATTTCGGTTGACACCACGCAAGGTTTATAGATAATAATAATATAGATAATTCTATTATCTATAAACCTTGGACACCACGGACTCCACTACTCCAGATATTTCTAGATTCGTTGGGAAACCATACCATAATATAAACATTGTTCTATGGTATTGCCACGTATTGCGTACGATCCATAGAATATAGATATTATTCAAATCGCGACGTAATAATATTTTATATCGTGGTCCGTGGTTTATGCATATTAAGTTAAGCGCGAATCGCCACACGAAATATTCAGAAATTCCTTATCGTATTTAACATAGGCTCGAATAGCTTTTACCAATAGAGTTACCTATATATTATTATTTGTGAAACAACTATTATCGGCTAAAATTTAATTATTTGTGTATTTTTTAGTATTTGTACCAGCTGTAGTTTGTAGTAGCTGAGGTTGATATATTATTTACGATTGTATTTTTCTTATTATTTAATGTGTTATACTATTAAAGCCTATAGGTAGCTGGCCAGTCTGTTCATCGACAAAGCCGTGAGTTTTTATTTATTATTATTTTACGACCGTATTAATAGGATGTCACACCCGCACATTGTATTGTCTCCGTCTGACAAATGTACAACATAGCAAAAACTGTTTTTCGCGGGACAACTTTTCTCGCACCATATTTGTTGTAGAACTACCAAATTTTCACAACACTTAAAGAAGAACTTTATCGTGCAATATCGTTCCCATATTTTTGGTAACATAAATACAATAAGAGTTATTTGCTTCTAAACATTTTGTTTTTTCATTTGCTTATAAAAAATTATTGGATTGTGCTATTAAAAAAAAGAGCACGCTGTTGCACAGATAAAGTTCTTCTATGCGTGTTGTGAAAATTTGGTAGTTCTACAACAAATATGGTTCGAGAAAAGTTGTACCGCGCAAAACGGTTTTTGCTATGTTGTACATTTGTAAGACGGAGACTACACATGTGGGTTTGACATCCTCTTAAGCAATCACTACTGAAGAACCCACAAGTGTCCCATCACTTATATAATATTTTTATCGCTTGAGGTAATAATTTTGGTACATCTACTAAAATGTACTGAATTTAAGACTTAATACTACATTTTGTAACACATTACATAAATGTTTATATGTTTTTTAACTTATTATGCATGATACAACAACTTATATTATAATTATTATTAATCAGTTTATTTATTTATTCACTCAAACACTCACAATCAAACATATACAATTATTGCCATACATAGACATTAGACACTTACCCAGTAAAAAATATGTGCACACCAAGCGTTACACGACACATCACTTTTTTCCGTGGACCCCAACTATTTATGGTGGTTGAACTGCAGCTTATCACACTTCTTATAAATCAGTGAAATCACCTAGGTACCTTAGATACGGAACTTTTCCGTTATTCCGAAATACCATGAGCTCGGTCTTATATAATTATAAAAATTTTGATTTTGATATTACTTTTTATTTCACAGAGGATTCTTAACAAGAATGAATTGAATTGTATTTGAAATCGATGTTAAGACCAGATTTTAGTTTTAAGTCTTCCAAGTACCAGACTTCATATACAATTGGCAATGCAAAATACAAAGCAAAATCTAAAACCCCGTAGGTGGAAACCAGCTGAATACAAATATAGAAAATCATCGCATTCAGACATTTATCATGTACTGCAATCCTTGCGCAAGTAAGTAGTAAGTGATCTAAACTGCTGAATAAATATTAGTAATGCATTTTTTATTTTAGAGATGAGGTTTTTTGTGATATTAAACTAGAAACAGATGATAGTAGAGTTATATTCGGCCATAAAGTGGTTTTGGCATCGGCTAGTCCATATTTCCATGCAATGCTCACAAATTTTGCTGAAAAGAATCAAAATCATGTTGTTGTCAGAGAGTTGGATTCTTGTTCCTTACAGCTCTTAATAGATTTTGTTTATTCTGGGGAGATCACGATCACTGAACAAAATGTTCAGGTAATAATGGATAATGTTTAATTTTATTATAGAAGACAAAATTATATAGATTGTTTTTTGTTTATTTCTCAAGGTTTTGTTACCTGCAGCAAATCTTTTGCAGTTACAAGAAGTCAAAAAGGCATGTTGTGATTTTCTACAGGCACAACTATGTCCTACAAAGTTTATTGAAATAATTGAGTTAGCTGATTTACATAGCTGTACGGAATTGTTAACAAGTTCAGAATTATATATTCAACAACACTTTTCGTATGAAATATTTTTTTTAATTATGATTCTATAAGAAATTTGTATTTATTATTGTTTTAATATGATCCTTAGAGATGTGGTAGATTCAGATGAATTCCTATCTTTATCATTTGAACAAATGGTTAAACTGATCGCCAATGATGAACTTACAATTCCATCTGAAGAAAAAGTAGGCAAAGTTAAATTGTTAATTGTTATATTTTAGTACCTATTATGGATGGAAAATTTAAGTAAACTACTTACATAAATATAGAATAATTAATTTATAATACAGTAAAACTCGCTTAAGACGCTCTTTAAGGGGCCAGCTCTCTAGAGCGTCTTATGCGGGAATGAAATAGGGATATAGATGATATAGGGACCGACGGAAAATAGCGTCTTATGCGGGAAAGCGTCTTAAGCGGGAGCGTCTTAACCAAGTTTTACTGTAGTATATTAATTGTTGTAGATATTTGAAAGTGTTATTCGATGGGTAAAACATGATTTAGGTTCCAGAAACCGTGTTTTCCCCGAATTAATGGAACATGTACGATTACCATTAACATCAAAAGATTACATATTGAAAAATGTAGTTGACGAACCTCTTCTTAACAATTGTTTTAAATGTAAGTTGTTTTTATGAGTATGTTTTTTACAAATTAATTTATATTTTATGTATTTATAATTTTTAAGGTAAAGATTACGTAATAGAAGCATTACATTTTCAATTACTTAAGTCAGATGACCTTTTCACCATTCCACATAACATCCGGACTAAACCTAGACAGCCTGGCGGTATACATAATGTATGTTTCCGTTATAATTTAATTATCTTTCCAATATATTTCTTCTTCTTCTTCTTCTTCTTTTAGGCATTTTAAAGACCATTAAGGTCCATTGCCGCAGCAACAACATCCCTCCACTTCTCCCTGTCCCTTGACACTTCTTCTCCATTCTCTATCCCTATTATTCTGAGGTCTTCCTTAATTCTATCTGCCCACCGTTGTCTGGGCCGTTTCGTGCTCGGTCTCCATCTCGTTATGTTCCCCAGTATTCCTTCCGATCTCCAAACATGACCTGCCCATCTTAATCTATAACTCTTCATAATTCCTATAATATTGGCTTCTCCAAATAAACTTCTTAACTCTTCATTTGTCCTGACTTCAAACTCACCTACATCATTCTTTTTTGGTCCATAAATTTGTCGGAGTATTTTCCTTTCAAAAACACCCAATTTATTTATATATTTACAAATTATTATTCCAATATATTTACCGATTTAATTATAACAGGTTATTTTAGTGGTTGGTGGATTAGGGTTCCATGAAGTAGTATTAAATAGTACAGAATGGTATGACCCAAAAGTCGACCGCTGGCAGTCTGGTCCAAAAATGATTGCAGCACGTTGTGCTGCTGGTCTAGCTGCATTAGAAGATAATTTTGTATTTACTGTGGGAGGTATTATTTATGATTTGACTGTTCAATCTGTTGAGGGGCTAGATTTTTCTTCAGAATCTCCTCATTGGAAACCAACTGTCAATATGTTCTTTAAAAGACAACATTTTGGAGTTGGTGTAATAAAAAATTATGTATATGCCGTAAGTTATGTGGAATTATAATTTATTAGTAATTTCTGTTATAAATTAGGTACATATTAATTATATTATAAATTCAAGGTTGGCGGTTTTGATGGTATTAGACATTTAAATAGTGCAGAAGTTTTGGACTGCAGAACTCGAGAATGGCGTATGATATCTAGTATGTCTACTAAAAGAGGTGGTGTTGGTATTGGAGTACTGAATAATCTTGTATATGCGGTAAAAAATATTTTATTTTATGATTTTAAATTTTCATTAGTAACATTGATCATAATTTATTGTAATCAGAATAATAAATATATTCCCCCCAAAAAAATCACGGAATATAATATTTTGATAATTTACAATTTTAATGAACATACATAATAATGTATTAATTCAGATATTAATTTTAAATACTGGCGTAATTCAATGATTTAATAATTACATGAGACCCTGAATTTTTCTTTGACTGACTAAATAAAAGTATTAAAACACTATTTATTTTTTTTTTAACTTTATTATTGTTTTTTTAGTGTATAATCTAATTATTATTAATGTTATAAGTTTATTGTCTTTTGATATTGTTAATGCATGAAATGTTTGAAAATGATAATACAGCATATTTTATATAAGTGAATACAATTTTATTTAGTGTTTATTTTCAACATTTTAGCTTCATTATTTCATTTAAATTTAATACTAATGATTCATACAGATGAATAATCAATATTGATTTTTAATTCCTAATAATTGTTAAACATATACTATATTAAATTTGATATAATAACTATTAATAAAATATATAATATGTTTATAATTAAAAAATATAATATATTTATTCGACGTTTCATAAATATCTATTCAATCACATTTATTGAAAAATTCTATGCAATTATATTGTATTCCGGATATTTTTTTTTTTTTGTACGGAAAGTGACCTAACCTAGTTGTCTGCAAGTTGTATTAATTCAGTACTTATACAATTGTGTAGGTAGGAGGTTATGATGGTAAATCAGAGCAGAGATTAAACTCAGTTGAATGTTATCATCCCAGTCTTGATAAATGGACACCAGTTGCAGATATGCGCGTTGCAGTTATGTGGGTGTTGGCGTCTTAGATGGTGTAGTGTATGCTGTAGGTGGTCATGATGGATTTAATGTGCACAGGAGTGTTGAAGCATACAGTCCAAGTACAGGAATTTGGACTACTATTGCAGATATGCATTTGCGTCGACGCAATGCAGGTGAGCTACTTGTTTTTTAATTAATAATTATTTTATGAAATATATTTAATCTAAGTTTAACTTTTCAATATAGGAGTAGCAGTATTAGATGGATTATTGTATGTCGTCGGTGGTAACGACGGAGCTTCTAACCTGGATTCTGTAGAATGTTACAACCCCAACACCAATACATGGACCATGGTCTCAGCGTCAATGAATTTTGCTAGGTCTATGGCAGGAGTTGTAGTCATTGATAGGCCACGATATTTTAAAACTTATTAGCATTCATGATTTTTTTTGATACAAATATTTTCTTATATTTTACAATATTTTTTTTAATGTTTTTATATATTTTATTTTATAGTTTTTGAATGTTTTAGTAAAGGTGTTGTGTACCTGCACTATAAATTGATAGACAATTATAGGCCGCCATTTACTTAAATATCATAGTATTTGATACATGTTATTTTATATTAATATTGTCCTATATTGTAAATCCTTGTAACTTTTATATTGTTCTATGGTAACATGTAAATTCTTCTGAAGAAAGCACATTTGTGATATCCGTTATATTCGTTGTGGTTTATTATCATGATTTAAGATATACCTTGTTGCTATCTTTACTATATTGCCTATTTACTATATTGTTCAATCGTTTTTATTGTAGTAATGGTTTTTCACTGGGAGGAAATAGAAAGTGATAAGTTGGGGCCCGCTGTGTATCGTTTATATATTATTGTTCTAGTGGCTCTTTACAGATTCCCCCCCACCAGCCTATAAATTGATGAGCTTTCTATCTTATATTAGTAAGTACTTGACACAACTACTGTTATTTATATTATTATTTAATATCAAAAAAACCAAATAATATATATTGTAAATAATGATCCATTTCATTTTTTTATAAAGTGAGATTTTCGTAGCGTACCACCGTACACTTGAGAGCTTTCTGGGTACCACGTGCTGAGAAACGCTGCCATAGAGTAATATTGGACGCATATAATGTTCCAGAAAAAAAACTTCAGAATGTAGATTTGTCGAATGTTTAATTACAGAAAATAATATCACAGAATTGAAAACAACCAGAATATAAAAAGCCCAGAAAATAAATACTACAGAATGTAAACTGATAAGAATATAATTATATCAGTAGAACTTAAACATACAGAAATTAATATTGCAGAAATTCTGCTAAGTTTATAATTCCAGAATGGAATATAATAGAACAACTTTACAGAACGTTATGATGCATAAAAAATGTTTGCATAAAATACGGAGCTCCCCTACTATTTTTATTTTTTTTTTGCTTACCCCTAATATTTTTTTTTACTTGGACGGGGCGACGGTACAAACTAATGTCAGAAATAGTTTTAATTAAAATGTGAATTTCAATTTATGTAAATTATATAACGAATTTTACAATTTATGTAAATTATATAACGAGTTTTACTATTTCATATAAAAACTATTTTTGATATTAGTTTAATAATTAATTATAATATCACCCTGTGTTTTGCCTATATAGTCAGTAGTTCACAGATCATAGATCATATTATATACAAGTATATTATCTAAGAATGGCGGACATTTTCCCCCCGTTTTTTTTGTTTTTTTATTTTGTATTATTCACCTTCGAATATAAAATTATTATTTTTAACATATTTTAGATTCTGAGTGAAACGATGAATGTATTGATTTTACAATGATGTGTGTTTTTTTTTTTATTTTTTTTTAATTTTTTTATTTTTTTATTTTTTTTTTTATTTTTGTGTCTGTCATCACGTTTTAGGACAGTAAAAGTACTTGGATTTTCTTCATCAGTAGCTTTTCTGATAGGAAAGTGAATCTAGTTGGTACTTTGGGGGGTCAAAAGTATAAATTTCCCAGTAGTTTTCACAAGCGCCGGGAAAAACAACTTAAAAATTAAGGAAAAACGGGAATTTTTAAGCAAAATTGGTTTTCCAAAAATCGATTTTGGTTTTTGGTGTAACTCTAAAACAAATGAACGTATATACATGAAATTTTCACTGGTTGTTTATATTTGCATTTTCTATACACGATAACATTTTCAAAATATTTTGATTTATTTTGAACTGTTTAGGGACATTTTCATTTTCAATTTTTTTTTAGTTTTTTTTCTAAAAATAGCAATAAAATTTTATTTGTTGGTTGCGAAAGCTTGAAAATTTAATAGAAGGCTCCTAATATATTGTTTCAAAGGCAGATGAAAAATATTAAAAATCCTTAGTCACAATTTTTTTTTATAAGCATTTAAAGTTCAAAAATTGACAAAATATGGAAAAATCACGAAAATTAGCAAATTATTTTGAGTTAAGAATTCGTAAAAATTTTTCTTTTTAAATCTAAGATTTTAAAATGAAACACAAGATTCCTTATAAGATTATCTACCTTTATCAATAAAAAAATCTCTACCGGACAGTCAAATTAAATTTTTATGAGCGTTTGTAATTCAAATTTTTACATCATTGGATTTTCACTCGATTTCTCATGTAGCGATTTCCTTATTTTGTTGTAATTCAAAAACGAATAACTGTAGATACATGAAAATTTCACTGAATGTTTATATTAGCATTTCCTATACACCATACAATTTTGAAAAGATTTTGACTCTTTTTGAGCTGTTTATGGACATTTACAGCTTTCAATTTTTTTTAGTTTTTTTTTCTATAAATATCAATAAAGTTTTATCTGTTGGGCCAAAAAGTGTAAAAATTTAATACAAGGCTCCTGATATATTGTTACAATATCAGTTGAAAAATATTAAAAATACATAGGCACGATTTTTTTTTATAAGCATTTAAAGTTGGAATTTTGGCAAAATTTATCAAAATCTCAAAAATTATCAATCGTTGGAATTAAAAAATTATAAAATGTTCAGTTTTTATAACTAAGAGTTGAAAATTTAAAACAAATATTCTCTTAAATAATTCATACTGTAACCAAAAAATCTAAAAAATATATAAACACACTTATTTTTTACAGACATTTTAATTTCAAATTTAGACAAAATTTCATATTTAAACCAAGAATTACGATTTTAGTTATTTTGTTGTGATTGAATAATATTATTCGTGGGTACTTGAAACTTCTAAAGTGTACTATTATATATCTATGACAGTATCACGGTTTTTGTTGATGTATAACGCGTTATAACTGTTATAAGTATCTAATGGATATTGTGATATGATTAATTTGGAATTTATTATAGGTCATTTTTTTGTTTAATACCATAGATATGTATATAATATGTCTTATACATAGACTGACATACCGTCACCGCTCAGAATCGTTTTTCTTATACAATGATATTATATCATTGAATTCAAATTTAATACCATCCATTATACAGTGACCCACTTGTAACCTACAGTACAGCAGAGCGACACCCACTTGCCCACCTTTTTTGGCTTTTCTTCATATTAATTTTTTTATTTTTGTTAAAACTGTACGTTAACTAAAGAATCTTTAATCTTAATTTCAATAAACAATATTTAAAACAAGTTAAGTAAAAATATAGTTTAAAATAAAAGTAAAATAGTATAGAATACTAATATTGAATTGCATGGGTAACATTGAAATCTAAAATTGTATCCATAACCCAGTCAATTACTAAGACTATTAACATAACTTTCTTATACGATCTTACATCGTCATGAGCATTGAGTTAATATTTTATATCAAAACTGTTCAAAGCAGTTTAGTACTGGTTTAGTGGTATAGTGTTTATATACGTTTTAAAATAAAAATTCTTGTTTTAAATTTTTTTTTTTGTAGTCATGGATTAAAAATTGTTTTTAAAGACTATTTGTATACATAAATAATTTATCAAATTAATTAATTATATTTTGTTTATACAATTTTTTTATTTTTATGTCGGATTTTTTGGCGCCAGCTGTATTGTACTATATTATATTTTTTAGACAATTTTTCATTTAAAATTATATTTTTACTTAACTTGTTTTAAATAATATTTATTATTTTGTTATTGAATTAAGATTAAAGACTTTTTAGTTAACGTACAGTTTTTACAAAAATAAAAAAATAAATATGAAAAAAACCTAAAAAATATGTGTTAAAAATAAAAAATAATAATTTTATATTCAAAGGTAAATAATTCAAAATAAAAAGACAAAAAAAAATGTCCGCATCAAAAATGTATCGGTGGGAAAATATCCTACTACGCCGAAAACAGCCGGGGGGAAAATGTCCGGATACCATTAGCTAAGGCCATAGAGTAATACGTTCTATGGTAATTCTCTATGTCTAAGGCACAAATAGTGGACGTGTGTGATAGTAATGTATATTATATTACATTATGTTACATTATGTTACATATTATCAAGATTCAAGATATACCTTAAATATATATCTACCTTAGAGATAAATCTTAAATCGGGCATATTATACTAAGGGCCGTTCTTACAATGTCCGGTAAAGTGTCGGTTAACTTTAACCGGACGTCGTATATAAGTATATGATCTAAGATATTATACAAATAAATAACAATTAATATTATAGTTATCTTGTTAAATAATAAATTTAGACGAAATTTGAATTTGTTTGCAGTGCTCTCGTTAGATATAAAACAAAAAAATCAAGTGTCACGTTCCCACCCATGGTTTATGCATTTTTCCTCCACGAACCGTATCAGTGAACTTGGTTGATCGATTTTTACTATCAAGTTATCAACAACTGTCGCCTGTCGGTAAATTTCCTTACTTATTAAAACAGCGTGGAAACAAGTAGGTCTCAATTTTAAATTGAATTCCTTTTGATCAACAACGTTATGGGTAACGTACAAGCTTCATCCAATTTACCACCGATGCCGCCTAATATGACACCAATTCCGCCACCCACGACACCGCAAAAGCTGCCTCCAGAAAATCGCATCGAAAACCCCGGATCGGTTGAAGAACTACACAAGAAATGCAAAGGTTCGTTTTGGGTCATTTATTGTGTAGTATATTCTTTGTAGTTATTTAACTATTGATCTATTTTCGTTGCAGAACTGTTTCCTATGACCTTTGAGGGCATCCGACTTGTCATTAATAAAGGACTGAGCAATCATTTTTTCGTTAGTCACAGTCTACTCATAGGAGCAACCAGTCAAACATCAAACTACAAATTTGGATCTACATTTGTAGGTACCAATCAGGTTGGGCCTGGAGATTTCAGTCCTCTTTTGATAGGTGACATTGATCCCCGTGGAAATATTTCTACAAATGTTAATGTACAACCCTGGGATAACGTCAAAATCAAACTTAACACTCAGGTAATTAATTTTATAATTATAATCTACCTATTGTTCAAAAAAAAAAATATTCATGCAATGTTGTTCACAATAGTTTCAAGAGTTCAAAACAAATGGAGTTCAAACAACTGCTGAATATAGAGCAGACAGATATACAGCTACCCTGTGCTTAGTCAATCCTGATTTATTCAATTATACGGGAATTTATATATCTCAGTATTTATATGCTTTGAATAACAAAACATCGGTAGGTGCTGAAGTCATTCACCAACGTAGTCCACAAATTCCAAATGGGCATATAACAGTATTTAATGTCTTGGGAAGATATATATGTAAATAATAAAAACAATTTGTTTTCATAAACTAAATTAGAATTAGTATAAATCACAAAATTCATCAACTATAATTTATTTTATTTTGTAGATGATGATGCTACCACAATCAGTACTACATTGAGTTTAACGGGGTTGCAATGCTGCTATCATTTCAAAGCTAGTGAGCAACTTCAGTTTGGTGTAGATCTTGAAGGTAGTCTTTTACAACGAGATATCAATGCAACTTTTGCGTATCAAGCACAAATTCCTAAATCAGATATCAACATTAAAGGTATAAAAAAAAATAATAAATTATATCATTTTTTAACATAAATATTATGTTTTTGGGCTGGGTACAGATATTTTTATTTTCTAACCAAATTTGCGTAACACTTTATTTATCACCAAAGAAACGAAAAAAATGTAAAAATTACTGAATTCCAACTTTGTTTATTATATATATTATTAAATTATATACAACTAATGGTTACTTATTAATACATTTTTATAATTCATGCATTTTCTTCGAATTGGATAATATCGAGTAGTTTTTTTTCTACTGTACCTATACAATAAAAAAATCAATGCTAAAACAGAGAAAACAAACTACAGACATTTTTTTTAGTTATTAGTTGGTGTATTGTTTATGTGTATCGAATAAGTTATTCTTGTAAATCTATTTTACTATTGATAACGTTCCCATGATGAAAATATGCTTAGTTTCTTGTTTCTTGTCCATTTTTTCCATCTTTCTTCGATTTTATTGTTGAATTTATGTGAAATTATACATATTATTAAGTACAATCCTATTTATCAGATAACATACCCACATTTGACTTATTGTCTTTCTTTTTTAATAGTGAATATTTGTGCTTGTTTTGGTGTAAAAAAACATTGTTTCAATTATACAAAGACATATTATACACGTACCATAAGTTTCAATTATAATGTTTATACTCAGATTTTCAATTTATTAACTGTATCAACCAACATAAGCTAAATACCAATACAATATTTGAATTGTGATGAGTTCAGTATCACAGTATATCCAAAAGAATAGTCAACAATTGTATGTTAATACATGGTTGGCATTTTAACATCAGCCCAATGTGGAGCAATGGTAACTTCAGTAATAGGTTTGAACTTTGCATAGATGTAAATATTGTTTTAAAATAATTAAAATAAATTCATATTAGTTTTTATTTGTATTATCATGTTTAAAATCATGAAAAATTCATAACCCATTCTACCCCATTGTGTATGTAGAATGGAGGAATTTATTATTTTTGGTTTTTTTGATAATAAAGTAGAAAAGCTGAGTCATTTATTTGAATAAGGGAAAGTAAAGCTACACGGTCCCCCTTCATGTGGCAGTCCAATAAGGAAAAAAAAAGATAATAATTTTATCATTAAAAGGAATTCTTATTTATGTTTTCAAGCATATATTTTTTGTAAATTTAAAGCTCTACATTAAATAGAAACTGTACAATTGGGTTTGAACATTTAGTTCCCCATTCCACACCCTGGGTTCTCCCACGTAATATGTAAATATTTTAAAAGAGATAAAAAAATAAAACATTATTTTATACATTAATTTAAATAATAAATATAAATAAAAAAAGGTATCCTATTAAATATTAATTATTGCAGAGAGATATCTATTGCCCTAATATATCTAATCTATCTGACCTATGGCCTATTTGCTAAGATTATCTATAAATGATTCACCAAACGTCAAATTTAATACTATTTAAATAAAATATTTCAGTGATTTTTATATGTGAAAATTATATTTATTATTTTAATAAAAATAAATTATATATTTAATGAAAATATAGATAGGTGAAGTAATGTATTAAATGTTATATTAATACCTTTTTTTATTTTTACTATTATTGAATTAATTAGACAGTAATTAATATTTGTTATTTTAACCTTAATCAACTTTATTTGGATTATAAACAGTTGGTGTAACGTAAATATAATTATAATTATCCAACTTAATTGAAAATTGTAATAATTGTTTTCCTTTTTGTTTTTTTAGGTAGCATAGATAGAAAGTGGAATGTAAGCACGACACTGGAAAAACGTTTACACCCAATGCCATTTACATTTGCATTGAGTACTATGTTTTCTCCTGCCAAACATCAATTAAGAATGGGAGTTGGATTTTTAGTCGGTTAATTTATACAACATTAAATTTTGATGTAGTCGTAAACATTTTGGACCTTTTTTTCATTCCCACTTGTTATATGATATAATATATTGTATTATTATTGATTAAATTCAATAATAATTTATACATCTAAAATATAGAATTGTTCTAAAATTATATCTAATAGATGTAAACAAAATTACAACTTTTTCATGCCATTCATGCATTTGTGGGAAGTTAAAAAACCACAAATAAACACAAAATATGGCATAGAAATGGCATTCAAATATAATACTTTAAATGCTTGAAAAAAGGAGACAAAAATGTTTTGCAATTTTGAAATTTTTAGAAAAAATTATTATATATTCATATAAAAATAGAAATAGTGACATTACTTGCTCTTTTGACTGAAATAAACACTCCTTTTTGAATTTAATTATCATATTAATAGTAAAATAATAAACAATTCAAATAAATTCCAAATTACCAGCAATAAAGTAAATAATTTATTATAAATAAAATATAAGTTAATTTGTTTTTTAATTATATAAGTGTATCAAAGTCCTTTCCAAATAATGTATTTAATTCATTTTTCTTTTCTGTTTGTAGTCCACACTGTAAAAAATAAAATATTTATTTAAATTTATAACGAGACCACACTCAAAAATACATATAATTTATAATATTATGTACCTTGCAATTAATTTTTTTTTTATATTTGATTTTTTTACTAATCTTAATAAGTTGTTTGTTTAGCTATTTCTTATAACAAATGTTAAATGATTCAAATCTTAATTCAATAAAAGGTAATAGAATGTAAACAAATTAATTTTTGTTTTTCAAGAAAAAATTGTTATATCATTAATTGCATTGTTATGGTAGATATTTTGTTATAACAATTTGTGTAATAGGTTATGAATATTGAACAGAATATACTATTTAATTTAAATATACCACTATACTCTTATTTTGAGTCAGTCATCCTACAAAAATATGAAATTAACATTTTTAATTCAAAAATGGAAGAAAGTGGTAACTTTTCTGATGCACAGTATCTCATCATTGAGTAAGTCACTGTAATGTATGTGTTCAATTTGAATTCAATGATAAATCATTGCATATGAAAAATGATTCTGAGCGAAGACATGATAATATATTTTTTAAATATTACTATTAAAGTAATTTATTTTACTATAGGAAAATAGTACTTTCGTAGGTTAGGTACAAAAATATTGTATTTTTTATTATTAATATTTAGTTATAATAGTTGTATAAACTATATATTAATATAATATTTATTATTGTTAATAAAAAATTTTAGTCAATAATCGACTTATTGTAGAACAGCATACATATGTTTGTGGTATAATAGATAATAGCTTAAAAATGATCTAAATGTTTAAAAAAATTCATTGTGTATATAAAATACAATAATATAGGTAAAAGTTTCAAATCCCAACCAAAACCCTATCAATTTTTCATCAAAACGGCCTTCGCGACTGAAAAAAATTAAAGTACTTCTAGTGGTTCGATTTAAAAAATGTAAAGATGTTTTAGTTGGTCAACAAGTCTACTTTGCATCGGCCGGAGCATATTTTTTATATTTTAGATATTTTTGAATATATTCAATACTAAAAATTTATAAAATGTAAAATATTTATTCTCTTCAAGAATTTGCTAAAATTGAAAAAGTAAACTTGTTTACCAACACAAACATCTTTAAATTTTCTAAATCAAAAAACTAAAAGTACCTTAATTTTTGTCAGTGCGACGGCTATTTCACGTCCATAAATTGGTTTTGAATATTTTGATCTAGACCAGGGATTCTCAAACTGTGGTACGCGTACCCCTTGGGGGTACTCAAAATTTTTTAAGGGATACGAGTCTGGCCAACAAACCTTTAAATTAAAATAGAGAAAAAAAATTCTAAAATCCAAGGTAACATTTGTGAATTTTAAATTAAAATGGCGTATCTAACTGTTTCATTCGTCATTGATTGAGTAAGCGTGGCTATCGTTATACCAAGTGGCAAGTAGAGTAGGAGACAGTAGAATACCTATATAATTATAAAAACGCGACGTTAAGCTAGGTGTCATGCGCGTGGCGCGTCTACGCTCGGATATAAAATCTTGCGTCGTTACCGCGAACGACACGCGTGTGTTTTTATATTTATTTATATATATTTTAGTTTAGTAACTAAGAAGGGGTACTCAAAAAAATTTATTGATAAGAAGGGGTACAGTGTTTATAAAAGTTTGAGAATTCCTGATCTAGACATTAAATGACTTTTGTTGTGCTTTCGTGCGACCATAAACCTGATAAGAAATAACAATGTATTGTAAATTGATGTGGGTCGCGGGTGATGGTAGGGGAGTATACACGCACTAATGATCATTTACTACACACGCAAGACGATCAGTAACCGCAGGAACGAAATAATTGCCTTAAATTGCATCAAAATAACCAAAATAGTTTAACTATTTAATTTCGTCAAATTAAACTTAAAATCTCTATAAAAAAACTAAAAAAGATTGTTTATATATTTTTGGGATTATTCGGTTCCAGTATGGCTTACTTATGGAGAAACTTGTATTCAATTTTCATGATTTTTGTTAAGAGAATTTTTTTTTATTAATATTTATAGAACAAATAACCGAAAATGTCAAATGTTTTTAAATAGGTCAAGAAGATATAATATTTTTTGAAAATTATACAATTGTGTATAGAGGATTGTCTACAAAACATTTGTAGAAAATTAAAATTATTCTATGGTTATTCATTTTTCAATTACTACAAAATATAACAAAACCGATTTTGTAGAGGGTTTTGCTTTAAAATTTCAGTTTCTCCCTAATTTTAGATTCTGAGCAGAGCGATGAATGTACAAGCCCGGATTAAGACATTTTGAGGCCCAGGGGCCAAAGTTGTAAATGAGGCCCCTGTACGAAAAAAATAATAATGTATATTAATATATAGGTACCTGTTATAATAAATATATACCTATAGGTATTAGGTACATAGCAATAAATCAAGAATAAAGTATCAATTTATTTATAAATTATAATTTACAAGCTTTTTTCCTCGCTAAATAATCATCGATTTTTTTAAGTGATTTATGCGGTGTTATAGCCTATAATGGACAAATCTGAGGCCCCTAAATAAATCGAGGCCTGGGGGCCATGCCCCCCCTGGACCCCCCCTTAATTTGGGCTTGTGAATGTATTGGTTTTACTGATAGATATGTGTTTTTTTGTCTATCATCACCTTTTAGGACTGTAAAAACTCAAAACGCTTAGATTTTCTTCAATATTACCTATCTTTTTTGATAGGAAAGTGAATCTAGTTGGTACTTTGGGGGGTCAATATAGTAAATATTATGACTCGTTTTGAGCTGTTTACGGACATTTTATTTTCAATTTATAAAAAAAATGTTTAGTCTTTTTCAATAAATATCAATAAAATTTTATTTTTTGGGTCAAAAAGCCTGAAAATTAATTACAAGGCTCCTAATTATTACAATGGCAGTTGAAAAATATTAAAAATACATAGTCACAATTTTTTTTTATAAGCATTTAAAGTTTAATTTTGAAGCAAAACAAGTTTTTGACAAAACTGATTTTGATTTTTTTGTGTACCCCAAAAAAATAACTAAATACATGATATTTTTTTATAAACTATTAGATATAATTGGACGATTTGGTCGTTTTCTATAAATTTTATATTGATTTTAATGTAATAGCCAATAAGCCATAAGTTCATATTTATCATTATGCGGCCATTATTGATGTCTTTTTCAACAAATATTAATTTTTAATATTTTAACAATTTTATAAGCTGCTACATCTTACAATTTGCTTTGATTATTTCGTTATTCATTGCTACTGAGAGTACATACGATATTCAACATTCTGGGACAATCAATGGGTTTTTATAGTGCATATTACTACCTATTACAATATTACATGTGTTGTACATTTTTTTATGGGAGAGAAAAATGTCCACTAAAAAAACAGACGATGGTGGGGGGAGGGCATTAAAAAAAATGTGTACCCAGGGCAACAAAGTCCTAAATACGCCACTGGTCATTTGAAGTAAAATCATGGTTTAGCAAGCATCTTGAATAATATCTTTTATTCAATAATTGTATGTGATAAGACTGGTAGATCAAGCATCTGGTAGATCGTAGATAAAATAATAAAATTGGTTGGGTGGCAATTGCTACCCTCATACTAACGCCGCGCTACCCCGTTAACCCCGTTATGACACCTATGGTATAGGTTGAATTCATTTTTTCCGAAAAAATCGCATACTAATGTGTGCATAAAATATAATGAGATGCTCTAAAAGTTTCAAGTAATTATACCGACGAATTATAATTTATTGTTTTAAATTACAACAAAATAACTGAACCAAAAAACAAAATTAATTTTGTCAAAAAGTTGTTATGGAAATTTACCTTTTTGTTTTTCCTCCTAAAAATCGGTGTAAATTTATGTAATTTTATTTTAATGGATTGTGATGAGCGTAGACAGTTTGGACCCAAATTATAGACCGTTTGGGCGAATAGATATATAGGTACCGTTTGGAGCTTTGTGCAAATAAGGTTTAAATAGGTTTAAGGTAAGTTAATTAAGTATATTATATTATTGTATAGTAATGTACATAGTTATTCATATATTAGTATAATAGGTAGATATAGTTGTATTATTATAAATTATAATAACTAATAAGGTTTGAATTGGCATATAAAACGTAAATTATTAATTTATATAGGTATTGACCGTATTGTATAGTAATATACGATTTTTAGTTTAATACTTTTCAACAACATAAGCACAAAGTACCACATGAAAGCATATTGCACAAGACACAACTCATCACATAGCACACTGAAGTGTTATTACTGATAGTTATTATTTAGGTATACAACTTGTATAGAATTACTGAATCGTAATCTTGTTTTCAATAATAGTGCGATTAATAATGATTAGCAGGGCCGTCCTTAGGATTTTCGGTGAACCACGATTGC